TAATATAAGATGTACTAATGAAATATAGAATATTTTATCTGAAAAGTTCCAAAACGTATTAGAGAATATTAAAGAAAATGAAAACTTGTATATATGTAATAATATAAAAAATTTAATTTCTGGGATCATAAAAAGAGGAGATGATACAAGGAGATATTTCAAAAAAAATTTCCACAAAATGAAAAATTTTATAAAGTAGAAATCTATTACAAATTAATTAAAGCTATTGTTGATAAGATCAATAAATATTACGAAATAAATGTATTCATTCATGATACAAATAAAAATATTAAAGACAGCATTGCAAGCATCAAAATTTTTTAAGACATCCAAAAAACAGTAGAAGTAATAATTGATATAACGCATAATCATACAAAAGAATAAGCTAAGTTATCACAAAATAGTAATTCATTGGACAAAATTAAGAAAAAAAAAAGGAAATGAGTACATTATTTTTATCATTATCCAAGCAGCAAGTAAATAATTATAACTATGCAAAATATTTCATGGATGGTTCCGATAATATAATTATTATGTTAGAAGATCAATTAGGAAAAATATAAAGTTTAATAAATTATAGTGAAAATAAAATTTATAAATAAGAATAAAAAGTATATAAAATATTATATGCACCTGTTATTTATAATACATCTCATGGTCAAAAGAAATATGTAGGTGATATAGAAGAAGGAAAATGATAAATTATATGGAGAACGAGATGCAAAATTATCTGAAGAACAAAAGGACTCGGATGAGAATGTTATGAACGATGGTAACAATAGTACTGAGAAAAAAAAATAAATACCATTCTAAATCAGGGGAAAAAAGACAAGGGTTTTATATGCAGGATCATTTGTTTTCGGATTATCTATTTGTTTTTTGATCTCATTAATTGCACTTAAGCTGAATGATAAAGAAAAGGGGGGGTATGATTCTCTAGATAAAGCATTTGAGGATACTGAATTTATTAATGGGGAAGATAAGGAAGAATTTATAAGTGTTTGTTTTGACGCGATTTATTATTGTGAATAAGGGAAAACATACATAAACATATAGAAATAGGAAAAAGGCTTAAAAATTACATTAAATAAAAAGATAATCATTAAACGATTATTCATAAAGAACAATATATTAAAATATACATCAATGAAATACATATTCCATATAAAGACCATACTCAAAATTCTAATATAATAAACGCGCAATAATAATTATAAAATATATGGGTATATTAAATATGTTATCGTTAATGGTTCCTTTATCATAATATAATGGATACTGTGTGTTCACAAATGTGAGAAATATATGATGTACACAATTTGTAAAAAGACAATCGCTGAAAATTATAGTGAATAAGCAAGATTATATATATCTAATCTTATTTTAAATGTAGCAACATACACACAACCAAATCACAAAAATTAAAAATTAAACATTGTACTCTAAACCTAATTATATACTTTATACGTGCATACTTTTTTTTTTTTAGTTTATTAGGTGACTAGCTCATTACTATCTATTATTTTACTACAATTACACAAAAGTAAGTTTTTCTTTTAACATAAGTATATTAGGATTTCTTTCCAGAAATATACATAATGTTATACATTTTTTCTTCTGAATTCATGGAACTATTATCATATTCACTAATATGTTTCTCGTATGATTCATCATTTGTATTCGTTAACATCTTTCGCATTCTTAGAATAATGGGGTATGAATACTTTCTGAACTGTGTAAACTAACATTGTAAAAATATTTTAATGATTTTTTTTATAATGATTTATTAATATAATTTTATTTTTCATATAATGTAAAAATATTTTTATGTCATTTTTAAACAGTATTTTAATTAACCTTATAGAGACCCAAAAAAATTACTCCTACAATAATACTGATAAATAATGTTTTTATTATAGTTTTTATGCTAGTATTAGTAGCAGGGGAAGGAAGTAAAAAATCTGCTTCTAAACGCTTAGAATATCTTTGTATGTAACCAGCTTCTTTTAAAGATTTACATGTTTCTTCATATTCATTAGCATATGGATTTTGAGATAACCTTGGTAATAGTTCCTTGCAATTATCAGTGGATTTCCACTCAATATTTTCAATTAAGCATCTAATGTTATTTAACTCTTTAACAAAAGAGGTATCATATTCTACATTATAATTCTGTATTAATTCATTATATTCTTTAATCAAATTATTAAGGTAACCACATAATGTTTCATCTATAAAATTTTTTATAATAGAATATATAAGACCATCATAATCTTCATACAAAGTATATAATTTATTAACTTTATTATATAAATTATTATCCATATATTTGATGTCGTCTATACATCTATTATATTTATCGTCATTATTATTATAATGAACATATTCCATGAAATATCGAAATATGTAGAACTTTTTATTGAAATCATTGTGCATTAATGCTCTACTTTCTTTGTTTATCCAATAGTTAATAAAATTGCAGCATTCTGAGTTATTACATGAATCTTCTGTTTTAAAATACTCAAAATATTTTTTTATCCTCTTACAATTATTAATAAATGTAGTACGAATAACATTATCAAGAGGTCTGTTATATTGGGGACTCAGAAATATATTAATGTCATCTGTATTTACCTCAGTTCCATGTGTTGTATCGAATATATTTTTAAAAAATATGTAATCTTCTAATGTGTAATACTATGAAAAAAAATATAAATTATAAATAATATATATATATAAGGAAATATTAAATATGTAAAAATTTCAATAAAATTTTTATAAAATTATAGTCAATAATAAAATGTTATATAGTTATTCCAGAATATATATATTATATATTTATTTATTACATTTTTTGACATTATATATATAAAATAATAAAAATAGAATATATTTTTTCACTATATACTAATTGGATACTAATTTAATTGCTTAAAATATAAGTATAAAAATTGGTTTCGTTTATTTCTTTTATTAAAACGTAAAATATAAAAATATGGATATTTATATTAAAAGCATTTTTTGTAATGAAATTAATTTATATATTTTATAATAATAATGACAAGGAAATACAAATTATAAATATTACAAATGCGAATAAATAAATTACACTATATTGTTTAAAAAATAAAATAGAATCCATAGGCTCAATAAACTCTTAATAATGTATATAATTTGTAATTATATTTTAGGATTAAATATAGTAATATGTAATTTATAAAAAGCCAGAGTTTACATTCAAGATTTTTTTTTATCTTTTGTTCTCATAGTTTAGGCTCGTCTATCTTATGATTTTAGTGCTTAAAAATCCAATAATTTTTTTTATAATTATTAATTGACGTTTTTGTAAATGAATTAGAGCAATCATCATAAATGACATATATGAATAAAATATATATTAGGTTAGGAATATATATTTTTATGTATATTTATTGATAACTTGTAATACAACAATTTTTTTATAATAATTAATATATATAAATTAAATATATATTATATATATATATTTTTCACATAATTGTTTTTCTTTGAGGATGCTTATTTAACTTGACTATATATAATATTATATTCGCAAATATATATTTAATATAAAAGATTTTATAATTTAATTTACATTATGACAATACTAATTTTATATTTTCATGTTTTATTAATTATTTTTTTTTATATAAAAAAAGACATATTTTAATAATAGTTTAATATTACATACATGATATGTTTTATAATTTAATTTTTTTTTTTCTATTTTGTGTTATTCACGAACATATGTTATTGTATCCACTTTTATGTATATTTGTTTTGATTATTACATGGTAGAAATTATTATTTTAATAATTTTTCAAAATAATATTTCTCAATGCAGAAGATCATTGGAACTCTATATATTTATTAAACAGAATAGGTAATAAACAATTATATCAGAGGCACAATCGATCATTGTATGTGCATTATAAGTGAAATTCGTACACAATTTTAAAAACTTTAAAGATTTAATAATTCTTAATTTAATAATACGTGCATAATATATATTTATAAACTACCAAAACATCAGAAAGGACAACAATATCAGTGAAGATCAATGATTTTTTATTTTTTTGAATATAATATTTAGGAATAGATGATTTATTAATAATTAATCAAAAAAAGAATAATTCATTCCCATTTATCTATATCATGATGGATATTATCCTTTGTGTATTTTAATTCTTTATTGAATATAAATTATTATTTTATTAAATAATATATATATATTGTAGTAGTGTTAACATATGCGTAGTTGAATGTTTTATACGTCAATAATACGTACTATATTATTTTTATATTTAAAACATGAATACGCAATATTTATTTAGAATTATTTTTATTGTCATCTCATGTATTTTATAAAAATATATTCTTTTCTTTGATTAGATTAATTTATTACATACAATTTCAATTATGTATAATGATATATATGAAAAAGAAAACCCATATTTTTCACATTATAAAATTTCAGCACTTATTTATAGGTAATTTAAATATAATTACCTGTTATGCTATTTTATATGCTTAGTAAATATTATTATTTATATAATACATATAATAAAAACGTACAAAATATAAAATATAAAAGAGTACATAAAAAAAAATTTATAAAATATTCTTGAGATGAAAAATATTTAAAGATTTGTTCTTTATATTTTTACCTTCTGATCATAATTATATATATAATCCATTCTTACCTAATAAAAATGTAAATTTTTCAGAACGCTTGAAATTTTGTGTTATGGGCATAAATACATTTTATATAGAATGATAATACATAAAAATTTTCGAATATATAGTATACAAATTAACAAAAATATAAATATTATTATACAAATATACAATGTTATACTGGACAAAAAAATGAGTTCTATCGTTTTTCATATATGATTAGAAGCATAAATGAATATAAATTAATGACATGAAATGGAAATTATTCAATATTTGCTATAAAATATTTATGTTAGTAATATATATGGGGACAATATTAATATAATGTGAAATTACTAATACTATAATTATTATTAAAAAAGAATTAACATAATATATTTTTTAACAAATAATTATATGTTTTATTATTCATACGTAATTATATAGGCAAATAACAAAAATATTATTTCATTATATGATCATATATGCTTTATTAGAAATTTTCTGTTATATATATATTTCATAAAAATTATTAATACAATAATATTTTTTTTATATATGTTAAAGAAGAATTATATAGGTTGTTTTACCAGATTAAATATTGATATAATGATTCTATGATATATAACATATTCCTATATTATTAACATGGATAATAATAATAAATCCACATGTTATTCAATTTGACATATTTTCCTAACGTCAAATAAAAAAAAGTCAAAAAAAATATATATATATATATATTTTTATGAAATTATTATAGGTTATCATATTCAAGTGTATCAATTTGACTTTATATTTATGTTTATGTTGTATTATATTGATATTCATAAGATATTTAAACATTATATATATTATATTATAGGTACGTATATTTAAATTAATTGGACCTATGATAATAGGAGATACTTATTTTTACAACATATAAAATATTTTATAATCTACATGATGTTAAAAAATGTTTTTACTCGTCTAAAATATTCTATTATATTATGCTTTCTTAAGAACTATACATATAAAGGTATATATAAATGAATATAATATTTATACATTCTAAATTAGTGCAAATATTTCTTCGTATTATAGGAAATATAATGTTGACAAAATATATGTGAAACATAATATTATTTGTCAATTAATGTAGGTTTTTCTGTGTAATGATTTGTAATAGGTTCACTTAATGCATTTGTCTTACACAAAATTAAAGCATTGATTATATAATTGCATATTTATAATATATATATTTTCATTACTTAATGAACCATAAATAAAAAGTGATGCATTACTAATTTACAGTGTTGTTCTTTAATATATGAGAATGACGCAAAAATGGAACAAATATATAAATTTTTTTTATAAATAAAAATAAAAAATTTATAACGTTAATAAGAATAATAAATCTGAAATATTGTATTATATTACGCATATTCACAAAATTTATCCGATAATATTGTCACGTATTTATATATTAAATATAAATTGGCATATAAAAAAGTATAAGATTAAGTAGTATATCACTAATCATCCAAAAAAATATACACTAAATTAAGCAGTATGCAAATGTATATTTGTAAATACAACAACATAATAATATTATAAATATTTTTTGATGGTTTTATGATATTAAATGTCAAGTGTGGTATAACTAACCTATTTTGAATTTTTTACGCACTTTTATCATCATTTCTTATTAAAATATTCAACATATAAATATGAAAATTACATTAATTTGGTGAGAATATTTTAATAATAATTCAGTTTTAATTTAATAAATATATCAAAATTTAATTATTTGTACATTAGTTAGAGCTTTCTATATTTGGTAAAAATATATTACATTAAAGAAGAATATGAGTATCTTAAAATATAAGTAATAAAAATAATCCTATTTTTTATGTAAGTAAATTCATCATATTTTATGTTAACATATGTTACATATAAATGGGGTCAGTATGTATATATGTTATTTTTTTATTATATATACAATTATATTTATTGTTTTAATTAGATACAAAAGATCTTTTGAATTTTATAATTAAATTTTAAGAACACTTTTTTTAATTCAAATTTTAATATGTCTATATTAAGGTCAGTAGTAATAATATGTAATAATTCTTATTTATGTATATATATTGTTATATATTTTTACATCATGATGATGACTACAATTTTTTTGTATTATATAGAAAAATTAAAAAATTTATATTCTTTGCATTATCACATATTATGAAATAATTATAATGTTTTCATAATATTATCATTGTTTTAAAATAATTTATTCCATATTTATATACTTATTTTTTTCTCTGTTGGTAGAAAAAATTATTTTTTTTAATTTTATTCTATAAATGAGTTTATATTAATTTGATTAAAAGCAATACAATGTTTTCTTTGGTATCCTACGTAGGTACATTCTATATGATACTTATTATCACTGAAATTATTGTATGTCAATTCAGATGAATCCATTATGTTTATATGATCTTTATTTTTTCTCTTCCACAATGTGCATATCCTCCTTAATGTTGATTGTAAAATTGAACCATACGGAGTATAATGCTAATGTAGAAGCAATTATATATATGTGAATGAAGAATTTGTTTAACCATATTTTTTTATAATTAACTATAAAGTATCTTTTAAGGAAATTATACAATAAATAAATTTTATATTTAAACGTATACAGAAAGAATGTAACCATTAATAGTGTAAATGGTATTATAATTAATGTTAATATAATGATACGTGCATTTTTCATAGATGTAATGAATTTTATTCTTTTTTGTACTTCTGGCTTGTATTTCTCATTACCATACTTAAATTTATTTAGCAATTCACAGAAACTCTGTTTCTCTATGTTTTCATAATCTCACAGAAGTTCTATGTATGCCTTATAACATTGACCATAAGGAGAACATCCATTATAACTCAATATATATTCTTTATATAGATTATTTAGTTTTTACGATATGGAAAATATGTCATCATGAAGATTTTCAAAATCTTCCTTACATACGTTAGGAACACTTTCAAATATAGTTGCTTTGATATTATTAATTATTAATTCGTAAGAACTTTTAGAGTTTTTTAGATTGCATTTACAATAATCTAGAACGTCTTTTAGTCTATAGACGAAATACTTACAATTTCTTATTCTATTAGAGGTTTATAATATGCTATTTATGTA